ACTGACCCTCCTTCCGCCTCCTGAATTCTTTATGCTTTGCTATTGACACCAGAGTGGGAGCGTGCAAAACTACTCTGCTTTCAATCCTTCGACTTCTCTCTGTGAAGTCCCCTTCCTCGTGGCAGTGAAATCGTGCCCTCGCTTCGCGCAATGTCTCGAGAATGTGAGGGACCGCTGGGTATCTGCCAGTCCAGGAACATTCTTGCAAAAGGACAAATGCAGTTTCAGAAACGTTGCCGCTCGAGAGACGAAGATAGAAAAGTTCCAAGCACCCGGAATTTGAAAGGCGGAGCAAACTCTGCAAGATGAAAGACCAAGAAAGACGGCGAAGGCTCGAGGGGTTTGGTTCCGGGGGGAAAGGCATAGAGGCTTCAATGGCTGTAAGGCACAGCTCTGATCCCCTCTTTCAGGAGTCTGAAAACAAGGCTAAGCCTCCCCGGAGGACTTCAGGCACTGCAACCCAGAACGAGTTGTGGTGATGCACAAAAGTACTGTAGAGACAGAGGAGGTTGCCCGGAACCACCTGCTGTCAGATGCTGCAAGAAAATAAGATGGCAGCTGATGATGGCTCCAGGTAGTGGCAGAAGACAGGCCCCCTCCTCTATCGTTGGCAATCCCTCTGTGCCTTCAGCTTGCCCCCTTTCTTCTGCAGGGGCAGAAGGGGGGCCAGATTACGGAGTTAGGCGCAGCCATGCTGTTTATGTGTTCATCTGAACCGTTGGCTCCCGGGAAGGCCGGGGCAGAAGCGGCCGGCCAGCTCTCTGGTCTGTTTCACGGGTGTGGGGCAGGTCAGGAGTTGTCTCTGACCTCTTCGTATTCCTTTGGCATCCAGAACAGCTTGATATTGTGGATCTGAGGGGGGAAGCCGATTCTATAATCCCAGCAATACTCCGGGGACAGCAGTTTGGTCGGCTTGTTGAGCAGGAAATACTTGTTGAGGTGGCTCTCGTCGTGCCAGATGGCTTCCATGTCCTGTCCTTTGTCTTGTAGAATGCCTTGGTAGCATTGTCTGGTGAGGTTCAGGACCTGCAGTGGGGTGCCCCCAAATACTGCTCCATGGTAATAATAGTCCCCCTCTTCGTAAGAGATGTACGCGGCCGACGTGGGACGCCTCTCGTAGGTGAAGGAGGTCTTCTCCATGTTATAAAACCAGGCGTGGAGCTGGGCCACAGACTCATCGAGGGTCTCCACCCCGTAGTCGCTTTGGAAGATCTGGTCAACATCCATGCAGAAAAGGAAATCCACCTCGTAGCGGATGCACGCTTGGACCAGGTCACCTATGGTCTTCATCCGCATCATGCTGACATCTTGCCACCGGCTCTCCTGCTTGACTTGGAAGAACTTCAGTGTCCGCTGTGGGCTCAGCTTGATCTCGGGCACTTTGGAGAGGTCATCGACCATGATGTAGAAGATCACCTTGTGGCCCGTCATGAAAAAGGCATCTGCGGAAATTAAGAAGTCCTCCAAGTATTTGTCCAGATACCTGGAATGGGGAAATCAAACGAAGCAGGCATGAGAGGGCTTCTCCAGTTGCTCCAAGTTCTGTAACCACAACCCCGGTTCTGCGCTTGTCCCGTCTGAACCCAGCCAGAATTACTGAAGTCGAGCAGCCTTGGCCCCCTCCCCGTGGGACATGCCTCTTTGGCCCACTCATTTTCAGTGGACGTTCCTCAGCAAAACAAGCCGGATCAGGCTGCAAGAGGCACTTACCTCCCAGTGGCAAAAACGGTCAGTCCGATGGTGATTTTCTGCTGCTTATAGCGATTGTTCAGGATAGAAGTTTTGAATGTGCCATCCCATACGATGGGGGCTGACCACGGGCTCAGGGTAGGGACTTCTGGCCGTGCGCTGCCAGGAAGTAAACAGAGTGCTCGTGGCGCAACTTGGTCGCTCCCTGGCCGTCTTGGTGGTTGTAGCCCCACTGGCCAGAGGGAAGGCTGCCCCCTTTGGATGACCCTGGGGAGGTCCCTCTCGCTCAGCCCCCTCTCCAGAGCAGAGATCCAGGATTTCCAGAAGCCGGGGCAACCAGGCCAGCAGGGATCCCACCTCCTTCCACGTTGGAAACATCAGGCCAGGGTACCTCCAACCCAGCCGGGCCTCTCTCTAACCAGAGACTTATGCCAAAGGGTGGCCTTGGCTGCGGCTCTCCCACCCCATGTTAAAATGTTTGCCAGGGAGTGGCAGGAAACGGGAAGCTTTTGCCTTTCAGAATGCTGATTGGAGCCAGATGTTTGGGAAACTTACTTGGGATTTAATTTAAAGTACAACACAAGAACCATTTCCCAGCTTCTTTTTCCTGCATTGAATTTCAGCAGGCTATTTTCAGCAGGCTCGAGTTCCAGGAGAGGCTGGCCCAGACACGCGTGGACCAAACCGCTGCCAAGCTGGGCCAGGGCCTGTCCGCCGAGCGCCGCTCGCCTCTTTCAGCTTGTTCTTTGAACGGAACGACCCTGGTGGCGGTTCTTGCGCGCAATGCTGACGACGGGCACAGCGCACAGCGCCGCCTGTCCTGCTTAACCCTTTCAGCTCTGGTTTTGCAAGAGGGCTCTGGAAGAAACGTGGCCCGGCATCTTGCTGTGGCTGGACAGAGATCCACAGTGGATTCTAACTGGCTGAAACTACCCAAGAAGTCTCTCTCTGCGGGTTTAAATGCCCTTGTCTCTGCTCAGATAACCTCTGAGCGTGGACGGTGAGGCCGTTCACGCCTCGCGCTATGGCAGGGGGTGTTGAATGAGTGCAGCGTGCACGCCCCTCGGGGTTTGGTTCCTGGCTGACTTAGGAAGGGAACCTGTTCCTCAGTGGGACTGAGAGAGGAAGCAGCTGACGTTGAACTATAGCCAGTGGCCGCCTCTTGCAGACCCAAAGCCACTTCTGATGCGCCCCGAATCCCCTGTTTTTTTGGCTTGGCCACTATTTTGGGTTTCAGAGTGAGGGGGAAAGGGGAAGTCCAGAGGAACCCAGGCGAGTGCTGCTTCCCCCACCCCGTCCCACTTTCAACCCCAAATAGACTTCTTACCTTGGGTGAAACCAGTTGCTCAGATTTGATGGTTTTCCTGAATATTCGCCTCTGTAATAAAGGAGATAACAGGAATAAGACTTGGCAGTGGCTCCGGCTTGTGGTGAAAGTTGGCTTTCACACAAATGCGTTTGGCATTTCTGTGGCCAAGCTTCGCTTTTCCAGGGAAACTGAATTAGAGAGAAACAGGCTCCCCCAGCACAATAGGCTGTCAATAGGTTTCCGTTTTTTAAAACGTGAAGGTGCCTCTATTCCTGAATCCATTGCTTTTTCCTGGTCCGTTGGCTTTCTTTCTAATCAAAAGGATGTTTTTTCATTCTTTTTGGGTCCAAATCCCTTACACGTGGATTTCTTACTCTTCACCGTGTGAAGAATGCTGGAGAGAAGGATGGGCTTGACCGTGAATGAGACCAGTTTGGGATGGCCATCCAGGGCTCTGTTGGGCTCCTCAGCTGGGCAAGGTTTAGGCCCCTGTACTGCAAGGGGGGAAAAGCAGACCTTAGAAAGCCTGGGGGCTTGGAAAGGGCCTGGGTTCCCCCAAGGCCGCTGCCTCGGCTGACCGTGCAGAGAGAGGAGAGAAACAGCTCTCTGTAGTCGTGCTGGAGGAAGCGAGGGGGTGCCTGGCGCTCCCCTCACCGCCCTGCTTTGCAAGCTTGAAAGCCTGCTGATGACCAAGGTGGCTTCAACCATTCTGTGCAAAGTCCCCCAGCAATTCTCAGTTGCACGCAGAAGTTGTCAGTCCCACAGGGGCCAGGAAAGCCACTCTGGGGTGAGTGGGTCCCCCGGGGGCAAAGAAGAGGCGTGATCATCCGTGATCACTTTCACCCTAAGTCATGAAGATGCCCAGAAAAGGAGAAATAGGGCTGCCCTGTCGTCGCTGAGGGACTTGGAGGGGCCCGCAAGGCCAGGCGAAGGAGGATGGGGCACCGCAGCAGCAGTCTTTAAAGCGCTTGGTGGGAGACCAGCGATGGAGACATTTTGCCCCTGGGGGAAATACTCGCCCACCTTCCTGTAATGTCCGTAGCCCAGGGAGTCACAGAGCCCCAGCCCCTGGCTATCTGAGCTGTAGGTCGACTTCACACTTTTCCCAAAGCTGCACTGCCCTGCCGATGATACCTCAGGGTGGCAAAGAGGCCCGCGCAACTCTTGGTGAGCAAGACCGTATTGGAGGTAAAGATGGCAGCTTGGCTGTCTTTCCAGCCCTTTGAGGAGACTTGGAGCGATCCCCTCGGTGCGGTTCAACAGGTCCAGCGTGCCTGTGCCACTCCTGGGCAAAATGCCATTGCACGATCCAGACCTCGCTGTCCCTTCGGTTCTGGAGGGGCTAATGGTCAGAACTGGGCCTTTGCTGCTGTGAGGAAGGGGGCAGTGAGCTGACTGCGAGTGGGCAGCAGAGGGCGGCTGCAAGAAAGGCAGTGCCATTTTGAGGCTGAACTAACAACCTTGATTTCTGAAGCCCGGGAAGGTAAGAATTCCCTTGTTCCGGCCTTGCAAGCTTCCTCAGGAGAGCCGTGACTCATTTCGGGCTCAAGAGCGACAGCAGAGGACTTACTGGGCGCTGGCGCTGTACATCCAGGTCAGTGTTCCGTCCCTGCTGAAATTAGAACAAACGCTTTATGTTACGAGGTCATCTGCCTGCGAGCAGAAGGTAGGAAATACACAGCCAAAAATTATAGTCCAAGACGTCTGGAGGGCCCGAGAAGACCTTGGGAGATGAACTAACGACTTCTCTTGACATAAAGCAGGTCCTAGGTTATATGTGACGACTCTGTTTCCAAAGTCCTGGTCCCCATTTTCTCCTCCTCCTCCTCCTCCTCCTCCTCCAAATCCCTTCTGTGGATTCAGCTATTTGCTGAATGTGCAGTTAGGTTTGCAACCCCTGCAGCAGTCTTGTGTTTCAGTAGCTGAATAACTGGAGAGCCGTAGCTTAACTGCCTTTAAATTTGACAGAGGAGAGAAGCATCTGACTGTTCTTCAGTTCTAATGTGTATCTATACTTCGACATGCCGTAGCATCAGAGGAAATAAGTTACATGCCAGACGTTCAGGAGCGTGTGAGATTTCACATTCAGTCTAGGAGCTCTGTGTGGACGTTGACGTAAAGCTTCAGAAGCAGTCCGCAGCTCCAAATCTCAGATGTTGAAACTCCACACACCAACCACGTGTTTGATCATCCCAGAAGCTGTGCTGATGCGCGATACACTAAACTTGTAAGTGAATAAATCTGCACAGCACAGCACATCCTTGCACTTCTCCCCACAAGAACCACCCTGCACGTGGTCTGGGCCAAGGCCAACCCCCAAGCTTCTGGGCTAAGCACGGTGTTGAACATGGGTTTCTCTGGACCAGCCCAGCATCTTAATCTGTAGGGCTTATTGTCCCATATTAGTGAAGCATTAGCCGCTCAAGGTGCCCGACTGCCTGACATTTGTTTGCTAAGGATTATGGGAATTCTTGGATCTCTTCCTTGTCATGCTCAAAATGAGGGGAGCAAGACCCTCCCCGATGAGGCCTGCAAGTTATAAAAGGGTGGTAGGAACAAGGCGCTGGGCTGGGCTTTGCCAGAATTGCTCTGGTTAAAAAGGTTTTCCTCACAAGAACAATAAATTCAGATGGCATTTCAGAAGACCAAGATTGTTTCTGGCTTTCTTACCTGTCCAGGTACGTGAGAACTGCCAGCGATAAAAGGGTGAGCAAGCACACCCATAAGAGAACTGCCTTTCCTCCAGACGGTGTCATCCTTAGTGGAAAGAAATGTGGGGAGCTTCGTCAGAGGCGGCTTCCGTGGCCGGACCAAAGCTGGAACGCTGGTCTGATTTCAGGAGGTGGCGCCCAAAGCTGCTTCAGAAGGGACCCATTTCCAGCGAAGGCAGGAAATGTGCCCGGCGGGTTCACATCCCTCCAGATGTAAAAGCCCTGGTCACGGAAGCATAGCCCTTCCTTGGGGAAGGGTGCAGCAGACCTGGGACAGGAGGAAAAGATGCGAGCAGCGCCTTGACTCAGGCCTCTGCTCTGCTCTTCCTCTGCTCAACATACAAGACAAGCATTGGTATGTTTCGTTGGAAAGCCTTGCTCCCTGGCAACCTCTGTCCCTCCAGCTGCAAAAAAGGGAAGCAGGCCCACCCCGTCAGCTCTGCTGGGAAACCACCACGCTCCTCCTGCGGAACTCTTGCAAGCCCACCTTCGTGAAACTTTGGAAGCGAGGACCTCCTCCCATTTCCCCCCACGCTCTCATCTCCTTTTGCGCCATCTACTTCAGACGGAAAGCCTGCGGCGGCAGGATCTACTTTGGGTCTAAAAATGCTTAGACACGATCCCCACTGCCACGTTTGTTGCATCCCTGACCGAGCGGTGGCTGTCAGGGTGGCATTCACCCTTGCCCAGGGTATCCTGTGGAACATCAGCCTCGCTCGCTCAATCTCTCGGGCAAGCTGCCACAAGCAGCCCCGTGTCCTAGAAGCGAATGCGAGTTCACCTGCTGCCTTTGAGAAGAGCCCCGAGCCCCGAGGCCAGAGAAGTTCAGCTTCCCTCTTGAGCTAGCCAGCTGCTCTCGGAAAACCACAGAAATCCCAGCCAGAGCTCCTGTCTTGTGGATGTTCAGTTGGGTGGGTGGGTGCGAATCATCCTTCCTGCTCTGCCTTTGCCTCTTTAGTCTCCTGCAGCAAGCGAGAGATGAAGCTCTTTGTTCTTACCCCCAAAAGTCCACGTCCCAACAAGCTTAGGGGATTGTCTGCAGCAACCCAGAACCCAGAATGCAATACAGAACTGACCCTGCAAAAAAGTAAAGTGAGCGCTACCCCCTGAGGAATACCAAGTATACCCACAGACCTTGCAAAGCTCATAGATCGCGAAAGACAGACTATTAGAGCAGCTTAATTCTAAACTGCCAAGCAAAAAAGTGTTCTGAAATGGTAGCGTTGCTGCTAGAGACACCCTGTCTCGTCTGTCTCCTTGGCAAAAAGCTTCATAGCCAAACCCTCCCTCCCTCCCTTGGTTTGCCAGCTGACCTTTCAAAGGGGGGCTCCTCCAACTTTCAGAGTCAGGAGGACTTAGGGAGCACACTTACCCGCGCATGCCTCTGAGCGCACAGCTGCTGGGGCGGCTGGATCATGTTCCTGACAGCCGAGCCTCCACCGATGCCCCTGCCGGCCCCCACCCCCCAGCCCTGTTTTCTGTTCACGAAAAGGAGAGCTGCAGTCTCGGTCCCCTTGGCTGAGTTCCCCTGAACCCCGAGCCCCCCGTGTTCCTCGGCCGTCGTGCGAACCAGCCTAGCCGGTGAACGGGAGGTTCGGCCGTCGCACAAGCCCATCCATCGGCTCCCTCCTTTGCCAGAGTCGGCAGCCAACTTTTCTGTGGCCCGGCTGGTGCACCTTCTCCCTTGCCTCTCGT